ATATTCATATTCAACATCAAAAGACACGGATCACCAAGATTAAAAATTTATTTAAAACTTAGCTTTCGTCAGCGTCTGCCAGGATTGTGGAAAGCGTTTTTATAGTCTCTGCAAAGCCAATCGTTTAACTAATGAGTGTTAGGGGTCTGTTCGGCTCCCGCCCTCTCGTAATCAATTGCTCCGTTCTTGTTTCCGTTGGGCTCGTTGACAGCTGTTTGAATTTTGGCGCTTTGCTTCTCTCCGTTTGCCCTGCCCATATGGAGCGTGCATTTTGCTGGGCGTCATCATCTTGCTGCTCGTTTGACATTTCTGTGTGCAATGCTGCCGCTTCAGCCGTTCGTTCTTCCTTGTTGTCATCATCACTGCCTACATTGGACACGGTCCTTCCCTATCGCACCTCGGTGCGATCTGCCTCCTCCTCGTCATTTGTTGTAACACTGTGTTAATTGGGGAGAGGTTGCGATCCTCCGTTCGCCTGTTCGTGCCGGAGCGGCTCTGTAGTTACTTCATCCTTTCAGTTCTCTTGCTTGATGTTTCTTGCCGGTGCAGCATCTGATAGGCTGGCAACAACTCAATATGCCGGTTAATGGAATTGTGATGATCCAGAGCCCCGAACGGAGGCAAAACACTTAGCTGGTCAGAATAATTGTCTTTGTAAGTACTGCCAACGTTCACCCAACAGCCCCCCCATATGCTGACACAAGTTCAATAAAACAGTCAATGGAGTTAAACAGTTCTTTAAAGTAAACAGATAACAAAGTATGATCTTTTCCACGCCCAGCTTGCCTGTAACCTGCAAACTGCAAAACTGAGGACAGCAAGGAGAACTCAGCAGGAAACAAACTTGATCCAAAATACAAAGAGTCCAGGTACAAGAGCTCACATCACAAGAGTTCACGTTTGTTCCCGGCAAATGCCCACCCCACAGCGTCTCCTTAAATACCTACTCCCCAGCTGTGCCTTGTGGAGTGGGGCGTGATGCTCTCCTCCCGAGCAAGTGAGCCTGCCTCCATTGTTCCCTCCTCCTCTCTGCTCTCCTTGCTCTGGGATCTGGTGGGGAGGGGCATTCCTCCTCGCCTGAGCTCTGCCTTCCCTGTTCCAAACTTGAAGAGCCCTGGCCTGCTTCAGCCTGTTCCTCCCCACAGTCCTCCAAAGCCACAGACACCCCCTCCTGGGCCTCAACAGGGAACTCCATGTCCTCAGAGTCAGGTTCGGACGGAGGCATGACAGGAATACTGGTTGGATAGCCATGCCTTTTTTAATAGCCGGCTGCCCTTAGTTGCATCATGAGCAATGACTCTGGCCTCTGTGAAATTAAAGGTATGATTGTACTCCATGGTATGAACCCATACCTGGGATCATTGTTCTTGTCGTTTGATGGCCAGTTCATGTTCATGAAGCCTAGTTCGAAGGCATTTTGTGGTCTCACCCACATAATTGCATGCACAATTATTACAGTTAATCTGATAAACGACTGATGACATCTCGCTCATGGGTAAGGGTTCTTTGGGGTGCATTATTCGTGTGTGGAGGGTTTGATTGGGTCTATGCGCCACCCTGGTATTGTATGCTGATAATATTCGCGCCACTGTCTCTGACACACCGTGAATGTAGGGGAGTGTGGCCCAAGTGGTGGTAGTTGTTGTTCTATCATCTGCAGCACGTAGCGATCATTGCTGATGATGACGTCTAATGGAGTATCCATTCTGTATGCATACTTGATACAGGTATGCATGCTCCTCAGCTTTTTCAGTTGCTGTGCTGCAGTGCGTATTTATTCTATTGAACAGGGTATGGATACAGCCAATTTTGTGGGCGGTGGGGTGATTACTGTTTCTGTGAAATATTCTATCAGTGTGGGTGGATTTGCGATAAACGTTGGTAACTAGCATGCCGTTACACTTGCGACGTATTAGTATGTCTAGGAAGAGTAGGGTGTTATTCACTTCTTCCTCTGCCACAAATTGGATGTCGGAATAGATGGCATTGAGCTTTTCCATAAAAGAAGCTTTGTCACGGCGCTTGATGACCACAAAAGTGTCATCCACATACCTGGCCCAAAATTTGGGTTTGTAATCCCTCATCGCTGTTGATTCTAACTTCTGCAGCACTGCCTCGGCAATTATTCCCAAAATGGGAGACCCTATGGGCGTGCCCTTGATCTGTTCGTATATAGAGCCGTTGAATGTAAAGTATGTTTTTAAGCAGAAGTTGAGGAGCTGTATATAATCTTCGGGATTCAGTGAACCAGATGTTTGTGGTTCCTTGTCCTGCAGTAATTCGTTCATGACAGACCTGGCCAGATCCTGGGGAATGGATGTGAACAAGGATATCACATCAAACAACACCATGATCTCGTCCTCCTCTATTGTCAGAGTCTTCAACTTTTGTAAAATGCCCTTAGCCGATCTTACAGTGGTAGAGGTGTTTTCGACCAGGTGTTGAAATCGTGTACTAAGCCACTTGGCCAGCCCAAATGTTGGAGTGCCTCTGAGTTATACAATCGGACGCAATGGGATACCTGTCTTGTGTATTTTAGGCAGCCCATAAATGCGTGCTATGGCCGAACTCTGGGATAAATGAATAAAGCAAACAGTTTGTTTTATTCATTTATCCTGGAGTTCAGTGATTCTGTTATAGTTTTGATATGAATATATCTGGGATTCGAGTTTTTAAGAAAATTAGGAATATATATATACATATACAAATGCGTATACATATACAAGGAGGGGAGGTTGGATTTAAAGAGGAGCCAGCGGGCATTCCACCTAACCGAAGGCAGACAGGGCAGAGGGGCGGGACAAGATCATGCGTACGCACAGCCAGGTGCGAAAGGAAATTGGAGGGGATGAAGCTTGTGAGGATGGGAGAGATTGAGCCCAAGAGCAAGCCGATAGGTATCCCCACCGATTGTGGGCGGACGGAGCAGGAGGAGGCACGAGGGAGCATGCGCACACCCAGGGGGGGAAGGAAATTGGAGAAATGAGGATAGGAATGGAAGATGGAAGGCAGGAACAGTATGTAGATCAGTGGGCCAGAAAAGAGGGGAACCCCGATGGCAAGACTTTTGTAACACCGAATCAGGAAGCACACCCTGGAGCGAGTGGGAGGGAGCGTTTGGAGAGCGCACCGGCAATGGCGGTGCGGAGAGGGAGAGGATTGACAAGGATGACAGAGGGGAGTAGTGCAGAATTGGAGTGCAAAGAAGAGAGGGTGGGATGACTAAGGCAATCACAGTCAATCAGGAAGAGTGGCCCTATCACACGGGCAACAGGTGGGCGCATGGAGCAGGGGGAGGCACGAGGGAGCGTGCGCACACCCGGGGGGGAGGGAAATTGGAGAAAGGAGGATTGATAGGAACGGATGACGGAAGGCAGGAACAGTATGTAGATCAGCGGGTCAGAAAGGAGGGGAACCCTGATGGCAAAACTCTTCGTAATACCGGGTCGGAAGGCGCACCCTGGAACGATTAGGAGGGAGCGGTTGAAGGGCATACCGACAGCGGCGGTGCGAAAAGGGGGGGATTGACAGGGATGACAGAGGAGAGAAGTACAGAATTGGAGTGCCAAAAAGAGAGGGCGGGACGACTAAGGCAATTACAGCTAATCAGGAAGAATGGCCCTGTCACACGGGCAATGAGTAAGCAGTTGGATCAGCAAGGTGTATAAAAANGAACCTCCCCACCCCCTGAGCCCCACTCTGAGGACGCTGGCAGAGGACCAGCGAAAGCTAAGTTGTTTTTTAACTTTGTATATAGCTGTTTTTATTGTTTTAAATATTGTTTTAACAATAAACAACTGGTTTATACCTCTCCCGGAGATCGAGGATTGCGTTATTGAACATATACATATATATATATTGAGGAAAATAGTCGAACATCGGGATAAATATAAAAACAATTGTTTAATAAACTAACAACTGTTTGATAAACTTAGCTTTCGTCAGCTAACTGCCAACGTCATCAGAGTGGAATGCCGGAGGTTTGAAAGCCTGCTTATAAGACCGGCAATTTGTGCGCTTTGCTCATAGAACGCATTACCGGTCTACCCGCCCCAGTTAACCGTATTGCTTCTAATAGACTCGCATCCGTTTGTATACTTGTAAGCTCAGGAATCATCGCCTCTCTTGTTGTCGCTCTCTTTGCCTGCTTTGGATGTATCTGGGTACATGTTGCTTTAGGATGGTCCTAACAACGCTGTTGTTCCCACTTCCTTGGTGCCTGATAAACAAGCAGTAACTCTATGTGGCGATTAATTGAGTGTTCATCCGACAGCCAAGTCTCCTTCAGTAATCGGCCGCCCTTGGTGACATCCTGGGCGATGGCCTCCGCCCCGGCAAGGTCGAACGTGTGATTGTTGCTGGCCATATGGACCCACACCTGTGAGCGTTGCTCATGTCGTCTAATGGCCAGCTCGTGTTCATGGATCCTAGTTCCAAACCGTTTGGTTGTCTCCCCAATGTAATTGCAGTGACAGTCCTTACATTTCACTCTATATATCACTGAAGATCTTTCTTCATTGGGGAGTGGTTTCTTGGGGCGCATTATTTTGGCACAAAGGGTTTGATTGATATATATATATATATATCCCCCTAATGATTTTAAAAATGCGAATCCCAGGCATATTTACATTAAAGATATGAAAATTCTCGAGCTCTGGGATAGATAAAATCAGCTGTTTATTGTTAAAAGCAACAGAAGCAAAAAACAATAAAGAACAACCGTTCATAAAAACAAATATCTACTGCCTTAGCTTTCGCCGGTCCTCTGCCAGCGTCATCAGAGTAAGCACTGGAAGGTGGAGAGTCTGCCTATATATATATAAATGTATTTTTAGAATACTTTTCTGTCCTACATATACTCTTAATTATAGTTTTTCCTGCATATTTGTATATCTTCTATAGAACCTCAGTAATGCTAAATCACAGTTGTCTATAAGTGATAGTTTTTATATTTAATTTGGTGATAAGTTATTTCCTTGTTCATTTTTTCCTATCCCCAGAGTGCTTCAGGAAAAAATTCTGAACTCATGACTCTTCCCTATACAGACAACAGTGTTGGGTAAGTCAAAATAGAATCTTCTCATCAGTATAATATTATATCAGTATAATATTATATTATATAAAATGTTACCTTTGTAGGAAATATTTAGTTGTTTTACTGAAAAGAGCCAGATATATTTATTGGCAAACTCATTAACCCAGTTTTCATTCAAGATCTTAAGGATTCATCTAGTCAAGCATTCCATTTCCTACAATGGCCAGATACATTTTTTCTAGAAAATTCACAAATGTACACAAGAACATCAATATTTCCCTTTCATTAATTCTGGTACACAGGGTATAGAAAATATTGAATATGTCTTAATACATGGGGCCTATCCTGTCAAGCATGCACATTTTTCCCCTACTTTTTCTACTCTGAAACAGTTATAAATACCATGTGGCAAACAATTTTCTTGTTGCCACCCCCATATAAATTCCTTGCTGCCTATCAGAACTAAAACCTCATTCGTATTGTCATTACTTCAATATTATTCCTGCAATTCCACAGTTTGCAATCAGCAGAAAATAGCTTCTCCCACACTTCAAAGTAATTTCTTTCTGCATTTTCTCCTTATCTGTGCACTAACTATATTTTTAGATTCTTTTCTATAACACTAGTAGCCTGTATGTACTTTCATTAAAAGTAAAAGGTAAATATTATGATACTGTGTGCTGATTTCTAGCTTTGTACAGTGATATCACAAATGCAGTAAAGCATGCTGTTCCTGATAATTTGGAGGCCAAATGATGCTATTGGATGCTTGGTTTATTTTATGATATATTCAGATATTTTATGTGTGCTAGTTCCAATAGTATCTTCTCATGTATTTCAGTAGGAATTCAGGAAGTGAGCTACAGGTTTATTATGCTTCGCCACGAAATTATCATGATTTTTTTGATGCAATTCACAGAAGGGGAGATACATTCTATGTGGTGTCCTTCCGTAGGGTAAGTATATTGCAATGTTCAGCAATTACAAACATGGAAAGATTGTCCATTTTTATAATATTCTGTCCAAGAATTTTTGAGAATTGTTATTTTTGGATGAGGCTAGTATATCTTTTAAGTATTTTCAACATATAATTCTTGAGCTTTCTTGAGAAAGAAATTATAAAATGTTGATTGTGAAATTATATTATAACCTGTTATAAAACTGTTTCAGTTTCCCTATGAAGAAGCAAAAAAAAAAATCCCCATGAATTTGATTAGAATTTATTGTTCTCCTAAGGAAAATGAGAATCAATATTGGGCATAAATGAAATTTATACTTGAAAAAATCAGTACATATCCAGAAAATGAAATCATACAGTTTTCTCTTGTGCAAATGGATCGGTTTTGGTCAGGTATTTTTCTTCATTGATGCTAAATAAATAAATTTATTGGCATCACATCTTCCAGATATTTGCAGTGGTTTTGCTTCAGGAATCGGGGATAGCAGTTCCTTTTGCACAAAATATCATAATAGAATAGGGAGTGAAAATATAATCAAGATCTTGACACCTTATAGAAACCAATTTGTATGTGAGAGGACAGCCATGGGAAACATCTATTTTTATATCATATCTCCCATCCCAGTAATACTTCCCAGAATAGAAGATGAGTTTTGGTAAACAATTTTTTAAAATTTATCCCATTTTGTGTCTTGGAAATTATCCATCAGAAATGAAGTGCATGTTTAATTATCAAAAGAATAAAATTGAATCTATTTACATTGTGCAGTTATCCCTATATCTATCAGCAGATGGAGACAATGTTTAACTTTATTTTAAGAAAGTTGTTTTATAAACACTCTACTCCAAGAGTTGATATTTTTTCCTCAGTTTGTCTGCTGAGAAACTTTTATATATTATTATGGAATCTGAAAAATATTCTAATATACTCATTGTTGTCCGATGTGTGTAATTTCTGTTGGTTCTCTTTTCATTCAATAATTGCATGTTGCAGTGAAAAAATGGTAGAAATGAGAGAGCTTTTAGGAAAACCTATTTCTACATTACTATCTTCTGTAGCAGCTTTTGTACTTTTTGGCAATGATTGATTAGCCCTTTAATTTCCCTCTTCTGAAAAAGATTCTTGAATGAATGGTGGCATCATGGATAAGTTATACAGATGGTTCCTTTGGATAATGTGGATGATCAGCACCATTATCATTGACACTGTATTACATTTATTTTTCACTTTTCTTCTGGGAGACCCAGAGGTGGGATTCTATGTCACAGTACTTCTACTTGGCCAAGCAACCTGGTCTTAGAGAATTATTACTTAGCCTTCAGCAATGGGCGTTTTCAGACCTCAGTTCCCCATGTTTTTAACTTGAAGGCAGAAAGACTATAGATTTGAAGTTGCTATTTGCTGTAGGTAATATTAAGCTAGAGGCAGTTTGGTGAAGTGTTAAGATATCAGTCTAGAAACAGGAAGATCAGGAGTTCTAGACACACCTTAGACACAAACCCTATTGAATGACCTTGGGTCAATGACTCTCTCAGTCTTAGGAAGGAGGCAAAGAAAAACCACTTCCAAAATCTTACCAAGAAAACTGGAGGGACTTATCTAGGCAGTTTTGCTGGAATCAAAAACTGATTTGAAGGTTAGGGTTTAAACTAAAATACTAAGCTAGGTGGACATAGTCTCTGTGATTGGTGGTCTGGTGTTTGGAACTGGGTCTTTTCTGTATGCAAATTTCCATCTCTCTACTCCCCTCTAATCTCTAATCAAAGAAGCTATGTGAGACCTCTACTGCTATTGAATAAAGGACTAGATATGATAAATCAACTGGGACTCCAGAAAAAACAAAATTCTTCTGTTCAGTAAATGAGACAACAAAGGACTGGGTTACAGTTCTAGTCCAACTAAAGCAGAGGTCCTCAACCTTTTGTGCATCAGGGACTGGTTCCATGGAGAGAGGTTTTTCCAGGGACTGGAGAGCGAGTGGCTTTGTGTGCTGCCTGCATCCCATGGATGGGGTTTTGCTTGTTTGTGTAGACCGGTTGATGGCATACCGCGGCACGGTACCGGTCCACAGACCGGGGGTTGGGGACCCCTGAACTAAAGGATTAAGTATGCCCTTTAGAGAGACTTTATCTTGAATTTTTCAAGAACAGAGAAAACAAGTATTTAGTTTAACTAAGAGCATCTGTTTCTTTACAAAAGTAATCAATAAATGGAATTTTGAAATAGAATGTTTTAGCAATAATCTTTATTTTGGTTTTATGCAGTATATAAATTACACATTTTAATAGGATGTATGAAGTTGCATATTGTGGAATATTTAATCAATGTCTTAAAAATGTAAAATTAGTATTCAGCCTATTTCATTGTTTGATATTTAGTAAATGATAAAAATCCTTTTTTATAGAGTTGTAGAAGTGGAAGGCAACCATTTAGCCTTTTGAGTCAAAACCCTTGCTCACTCTAGGAATCCAATGGAAAATGTGCTACAATACATTTAGTAAAAGGAAATTATCTCTGAATCAACTGTCAAATTGTTGTTCTTATTAGAATGTTTGTAATATAATATCAACTTCTTTTCCCGGGTTTTAAAGTATGTGCAGAATTACATTGACTTTCCACACTTGCAGATATATGTAATTAGTCAATCAAATCTTTATTATGCTCATAGATCACTATAAATTCACTAAATTTTACTATAAGTAAAAATTCACTAGTATGTCCAAATTCAGTGTTTTTTGTTTATATGTGTGTATTTTGAGACCCAGACAGAGAATTAGTTGTTTTTTAAGACTGGAATGTATGCATGTCCATGCAGGTACTGTATATAAGTAGGACTTACTTAGGATTTTACTTAGTCTACATATACTTGGAATTTTAAAAGTACGTATGTTTTGAGCACGCTCAAAGTGACTGATGAGGAGAGAACATACTCATTCAGAAAGGTTTGCCATGGCAGACATGGCCAACTACAAAATATAACATTTATTAAAATATAAAATAAGGAATTTTTTGCCTGCTGTTTCTTCTCATTCCTCCAAGAGTTTTCCTACCATATCCAATTTAAAGTTAGATAAAATCTCTTTCATCTTGAGCTTGATTTCTGATGATTTGAAAGATATATTTATGCGTCAAATCTTTATTATGATCAAAGATTAACATAAGGAGGATGGGTATATAGACAATTAAAAAGGATAAAAAATACATCAGTCTAAAAAAATTACAAAAAGCTAAAGCTTATAAAACAAATAAATATAAAAAACAAAAGTCTAAAAAAGGGGGTAGGAATATTAGATAGGTGTAGGGAGAGCTTAAAGGTTAGTATATGGCAGACTAAATCTATCATAATATTGCGCACTCTAGAATGACAAACTAGATGCTCATTAAGAATAGCTTATGGCACAGGTCATCATCTGATGGATTTTAAGTGCCTTTGCGCAGAAACTGGCAACATGATAGGTTGTATCAGGGCTAGTATCTGAAATCAGTAGGGACTGTAAAATTGTCCTGTGCGCCCTGGATATTTATGCGGTAATGATGAGATGAAGCTAGTTTTTATCCTACAGACACTGGGGGAGTACATGCTCTGTTGTTTCTTATGACGGTGTCCAGAAGCATAGTCTCTCCCGGTAGGAAATCTTCCTGTATTGAAGGACAGCTGAGGGGAGGGCATGGCATCAGAATAGAGGTGTACCAGGAGTATTACAAGATTAGTTAAGTATACCATAGGGGAGGCAGAGTATCTGTTGGGTCCACTGACAATAAATGTTGGGGACCTGACTAGGTCCAGTTGGTGCTGTTGTATTTGCTATGCACTGTTGAATGAGTGTTTTTGGCCTAATCATATTCCATGCTGAGTAAAAGGCCTGGAGAGAAGCCCAAGGGTGAGATTTTACTTGACACTGCCTTTTCCCATGTGAACTGAAAATCATCCTTCATAGTTATATTGTATTTATGCCATTTTATTGAAAACACTTAAGTGATTTACTATTGCCAGAGAAAGAGTGAGGGGGAGAGAGAAACTTTCCAATCTCCAGTCCCTTTGAGGATAAAAGGAGGACTTACATATGTTGCCTTTGATTCCTTGAAAGAACGGAATAATATTTCCTTATTGATCACATTTTATTGTGATCATTATATTTCAATTTTGTTGTAAAAATCAAAGGAAGCGTATCAGGGGTTTTTTTTGGGGGGGGGGAGAAAATTTATTTTTTCATTTATACTCTGCCTTTGTTTTATTTTTATAAATAACTTAAGGCAGCAAGTTTATGTAATACTCCTTTCTCCTTCTATTTTCCCAACAACAACAATAACCCCTTGAGGTGGGTTGGGCTGAGAGAGAGTGTCTGGCCCAAAGTCACTCAGTTGTTTTTCATGCCTCAGGTGGGACTAGAACTCACAGTCTCCTGGTGTCTAGGCCAAAACCTTCATCACTGCAATTAAGGAAAGATCAGAATAGGTACTACAAGGTTCATTTTTGCAATTCTGAATGGCTACCTGGAATCTGCTTGGAATTAAAGAGCCCAAATATGTTACTTCAAAGAGTCCATCTTCTCTCTCTATCCAGTAAGAGGGGAAAAGACTTTTGCTTCTACTGTCTCTCATTGAGCCTTAATTTTGGTTTAAATAGAATTGGTAAAACTGGAATATGTGTTGATAAGAATAATAAAAAAGTTAATCCCTTTTCCAGATCTTAGTTCCAAAACTATGCTCTCATTATAAAATGGAAGTTGTTTAGTAGTTGCAGAACAGGATGTTTATGCAGAAGGACAGAACATTTATGAAGAGTTACGCTGTTTTTCCGACAATGTAAGATTCTTCTTTTTCTCCCAATCAGAAGCAAATCAGTCTCTTGAACTGACTTTCTGCCTTAAATTTATAAATCCACAATTGTACTTTGGGCCATTTCCAGCTGCATTTTATTTCTGTCCAAAGTGCGCAATTGCAATTACTGATTTTATTATATTGGTGTTAAATGCCTTAATGCCAGGCAAGTTCCA